GAAGACGGTTCAACATTCAATGTCGTCGTTTCTTCATTCTGGCCACGGGTTCTTAACACTACCTCCTCATCATCAGCAAAAACAGTGATGGAAATAGGATATAGAAGAGATGGGGAATAAGAGGGTCAGAATGGACACACGCAGACAATTCCACACAAAAGCCATCCTGACGAGTGAGTTTGTCACACAATAAACTTACAAAGACAATAGAAAATTCCACGGCCTCACTTCAATTTCTACTTCGGCGGGAAATAAAAAAAAAAAAAAAAAAAAAAAGGATTCAGATTCTTCAACTTTTGCGTATCTCTAATTTTGCTGTTTATTAAACTTTATTTGTGTATTGGCGTTCCCATATGAGTGTACAGGTACCGCAGCCACGGGCAGTGTGATCAAGATAACAACACATTTGGTGAGTAGCAAGCATCCAAAGAACAGCCCACGGCAGGTGAGTAGAGTCGGCCAACAACAACACAAACAATCAACGTGTCAGCTGCCCAGTCTCCTGCTGTCTCACTGTAGATACTCGTGCCAGGCACCACGACTGACGCGTGGCACTACGACATAAGCCTGTGCCGTACCGCCCAGCTGTGCACCAAGTGCAAATGTCGGTCCCCACCAATCTTCAAGGTAATGGCAGCGCAGTTCCTTCTGCCACGTGTCACATCCCAGTCTGGCCAACGCAGCACCTCCACAAAGTGCACCACGTCAACAACAGTGACCAGCAAGGCCGTCAAATGGGAAATCAGTCACGTCAGCAGCGCATGATTCTGCCAAACCCGTTCGTCACAAGTTTGCCACGTCAGACTCGAAGTAAAGTTGGAGCCTGGGAAGCACCACGTCAGCAAGTAAGTCGTGACACAAGAAAGTGCCACGTCAAACAATACCCGCTGGTCCTTTGGATGCCCCGTCAGCACCCATTCGCCATGCCATGTAGGCAGTGCTCTCAATGCCACGTCAGCAGTTCCCCCCACTCTCTCTCTCTCTCTCTCTCTCTCTCTCTCTCTCTTGGATCGGTCGTCCAGCACCACATCAGCGCCACAGCCAACGATGCTCTCCCCAGTCACCAATCGCCACCTCAGCAACAATGTGCCATGTCAGCAATGTTGTCGTCGTCTTCTTAAAGTCCACGTCATCATCTTCGTCAGGTAGATGCGCACGGGTTGTACAATGTCCAGATCGCGATTATAAGCGCGTGCGACTATAGATGCGATTCACTGAGCGTGGCACCCTCCCCGTACTTACCTTGGGGCGTCAAGGCGCACAACAGCAGATCGCGACGAAGGAGGAAGGCTCCTATACCAAATTGTAACGAACCCAATCAGGAGATAAACTCATCAAGTGTCGGAATACAAGATGTCTCAGCGCCGATAAATGTCTCCAATAATCATGAAATGTGATCTGTAATACAATGTCTCGTAACCATAGGAAGAAACTCATAGGAGGGAGGAATAGACTAAGTAACCATCAATATCATCAGAGATAGAAACCACTCATAACCCACTCCTCCTTTGTGTGCCTCCCTTCGTCCACATCAGCAACAGTATCCCACAACGAGTCTGACAAGATTCGATCACAGCAAAGTGCCACGTAGGCACATATCTCTCATGAAGACTTCACAGTAGCGCGCTTGTCGACAGCATCATCACAGGTAAGTTTCCTCTCTCACAAGCCCTGATCACCCTTCTCGTCGACTCCCCAATCTGTACCGACAACAGTGTGGCATGCACCACGTCAGCAATGAGGAAGACAGTGTGGCATGCGCCACATCAGGAATGTCGAAGACAGTGTGGCATGTGCCACATCAGCAACCAAGTAGACAGCTGGCGCCAGAAGCAGAGAGGCACCAGAACGCAATGCAGCAGTCTGGCGTCGTCGCCGCACAATGCCAGCGTAGTGCCAGCATTTTGCCAGCGTCAAGCCAAAATCCAGCCAGCGTCGTGCCAGCATCAAGCAGAAGTGCAAGACTGACTACTGACCAACAGGGGCTGGGTCAATAAATAATGTTGACGCCGTTGACCAGCCTCTGGTCTCCCGAGTACAAAGGCTCAGATTGACTCACAGCTGATGGCCTGGATCGCGTAGAGTTACAGACTTCCACTTGGACCAAATGCTTCCTGGATACCTCCGTACAGCCAAGTGTGTGTGTTTGATCGATGGCCTGGACTGGGTCCATGCAGACTTTGACTCGTGAGTCTTAATATTCCGAGTTACAGTTGACTTTGGTCAACCGTCGGGTGCAGGGACTCAGAAGCATCGTTTCAAGGTCTTGTTTCGCACAGTCGGACGCGGGGCCTTGCTGAGGCCGAACTGTGGCCTGTGGGTGGCCCCCTGGCCGACAACAAAAGCATATTTGAGCGGGTTATTGCAGTGATCTGCCAGGAAAAATATTTATTAAAAAATAAATAAAAATTGTTAACACTGTGAAATCAATGCCGCGCCGATTCATCTCATTTTCCATTTTTGCCGCTCTACCACGATGGGGCCAACGGGCAAAGTACCTCAGCTTCAGCGATTTTTCACGATCAAAAGAATGTGTCCAGAAATCTGCAAATTAAAGGGTCCGTAGATTTGGTCGCGGGCTCTCCAGGAAAGCACAGGAAAAATCGCAGCGGCAAAATGACACATTTTCCATGTTTGCCACTCCCCTGATTCTCCCCACTGTGCTTCCGGTATCCCTCTTGAACCTGCACTTCTGGTTCCCGGGCCGGGGGGAGTGGTGGTTTAAGCTACATTCTTCTCTTGATTATGCCTCCCACTACCTACGAACATGTCTATTCAATCCAGATCATCTGGACACATCTAATGATTCTAATCTGATTCGGTCCACATCATCCAGCTGTCCGGATCTGATCCAGAACTAGAGGAGGAAGAGAGACCAGAAAAGTATTTTATTTCCATTTCAAGTTGTTTGCTTTCGCTCAGATTCTGTTTGCAATTTAAAGTCAACCTGCACCGCAGGGTTGTCTGCTCTGAGGATATGAGTTTTTTCAAACCAAACTCGGCTGTGGGGCAGTTCTTCACAGCTTTTATTCCAGACTTTTTCTTGTTCTTTTTTTTTTCAGAATTAAAAGGGCTTTTACAATTCAGACCCCAAATCACGACCCCAACATGAAGGGGCCCAGTGAGCCAGAAGCTGGAGTTACGAATCAGCATTTCAAAAGACAAGTTCCCCTGAGGCCAATGTCGCGTCCAGACTGAAATGAAAAGTCATTTTGCAGAAGTCACACCCAGGTCCTGCGCGAACAGTCAAATTTGAAGCTGAGTAGGGGTCACGTCTGTTCAGCAGATAGTCAAAGGTCGCAGGCCCAGTTTAGTCTCAGTCCCAGAGGTCAAGTCTTGAGTTAGACCAGAAGTCCAAAAGGCACGCCCGAAAGGCCAGAGTACCAGGGGTCACGTCTGTTCAGCAGATAGTCAAAGGTCGCAGGCCCAGTTTAGTCTCAGTCCCAGAGGTCAAGTCTTGAGTTAGACCAGAAGTCCAAAAGGCACGCCCGAAAGGCCACAGCAGCAGCAGACCATGGAAAGCTACTTGGACTCACACTTCGCAACAAACAGGCAGTGGGCATGAGGTACCAGGGAATTCGGCCAGAGGCTGGCCCAACCAAGACCAGTCCAACACTACAAAAGACTGGCCAGCCTCCCATTTCGGCAGATGCTCATTCGCATGAGAGTGTGGAAGTGCTTGTGCACTTGTGCGCTAGTGTGGGAGCTGCGCTATGCCAGAGAGCAGTGCTGAGTGAGATGAGAGAGAGGAAGCAGGCGCTGGCAGGGAAGAAGGCAGCCATAGCTGCACCAGCGCTAGTTAGTGGTAGGGTTAGTATGTCAGTAGAAGTGGACCAGTGAGTTGTATTCAGAGTCGATCCTCGTGTGTGTGCAGTAGTAGGGAGTGTTCATGTGTGTGAAAAGAGAAGACTAGTGTAGAGTTTAGACCAGGGACACTAAGACAAGTGAGAGACAGGAGGGAGAGAGAGCTATGGTGGAGACTTACCTTGTCTACCGCTGATGTGTGCTGGGTTCCAGACTCTTGCTGATCAAAGAAGACTTGTAATCTTGTTAAGAGCTGAATAATTGAACTCTTGACTCTCTCACTATAATCTGGTTGTGGAATTGGAGTTTCGCTACCTGGTCCACTACTCATCATCTACTTGTGCAATGTGTGACAAAACAATCTGTGTGACATGCATGCTGGTGTGAACACTCCAATACATTTTTTGAGTGATCGTGTTATAAATGAGTACATCTGCTATCAAACACTGGACACCAGATTTCCCAAGACATCAATATGATAACTACCTATGTTCAACCGGTTGAATAGGATAGATCAAATAGGATAAGCTGGGCAGCATAAGGATGAAGAGGGTAGGCTAATGCTGACTTAGGAGGGGTGGGCAGCAGTTGTTTTGGGGGGGAAGAGGGAGAGGGGGGTCCGGTGGCGAGGGGATGTGGCAAAGCCCAGATTTCCGATAGTCGTGTTCATCTGGTTGCACTCTTTCGGAGGATGGCCAACACACAGAATGAGGCCGGATGTTACCAATGCCTGCCCTAAAATAAACGACGACCGGGCTATGAGAAACTGCAGGAGACATCGTTGTCGCGTATGCAGAATGTGAGTTTTGGGTTAGGGGAGGACTGGGGGAAGCGAAGGGGTGTGGAGGGAGTGCGCACAGGGGCCAAGATTGGAGAGGCATTTCACTTCAAGTTTGAAAATAAAGTCAGCTTGTCGCACCTTCATTGGCTTGCCATCATGGCGCATGCAGACAAGTCCGCAACCCAACCCGTTTTCCGCTCACATGTCACTTTTTTCTAACCTTTCGGGTGGCTTGCATTGTTTAACCTCTGACAGCTCAAAATTAAGAAACCCCTGCAAGTTGGGGTGGGCGGTAAGGCAGGAATGAAAAGAAACGTTTAAGCCATAGGGGAGAAATAGGAGGGGTAGGGGGAGACGGGCTGGAATGAAGAAGGGAATGAAGGAAGGGGGGACAGGGAGGGAAAACTACACTCACCTTTACAAAAAGGATCTTCTTCTTTCGAGGACTCAGAATGACATCTTGAACCACACGGTCACCATTCGAATCCTGTCAAGAGAAACACGCAGAACCCACCCACCATCATAAACACTCGCAGCCTCTCCTTTTTCCTGATTCCATCAGGATGCAACCTCATGAATGATCTGCTCACTAACATCCGTGTGTCCGTGTACACAACATCCATGTGTCCGTGTACACAACATCCATTGTCACTATTTGGTTGGCTCCACTCTATATGTTTTTTCAACTTCTTTCAGCGTTGGCAACTCGTGATTTTCCACAAGTCTGCGGCCATGTATTGGCGGTTTAAACCACCAGTACATCCGAGCCTGTTTTTCCMAACACTGAATTTCACTGCGCACCGAGTTTTCCCGAGCCAGGGTCGTCACATCTAAGAACAACAACCAAAAAAAAAGAAAAAAAAAAACTTCCCCGATGCCGTGATAACCATCAGATACATTCTATGATGTGCTACTGTGACTGTGCCCTCAGTGATGCAATCAGACTCGCTATCTTTCACACTTCACATGCATGTACACAGGTTGCGCAACAAACTGGTGACAAGCGCCCACTCAGAACTCAGAGATATAGTAGCCAAGAACGCAGTTCAGATACAAGCTCACTTCAAACAGATATGGCGCAACAGCGCCTGTACAACTCTCTGTTCGTCGCCAACCCAACTCTGCTGTTCACACACACACTGGATCACCCTGGATATCCCACACGCATCACACTGTACACACACGTAGACACACACACGCTACACTCTCCTATCAGCTATGGCGGCTATGGCTGCTCCTACTCCTATCGCTATGGCTAAGCTCTCCTTCTCGCCCACTTCGTCTTCGGGCTCACTGCAAACCACCTCGCACAAGTTGCTGTGGCAGCGCTTCCGCATGGCTTACACAGGAATGAATGAATGGCTGAGCGCTGCCTCTTGATTTATACTTCTGTATCTCGTTGGTCTGCCCCTTTCCCATGCCCGTGGTGCACACAGTCCCATACAGTACTTGCTTGACTGGACTAGGACTGACTGGGACTGGTTCCGTTGACTCAGCAAGGGTGGACTTCACCACTTGCCCACTTGCCTCTACCAAAACGTGAGCAGGCTCCGAAAGACCACTTCCGGACCTTCCGGAAGTCCGTAGACTTGGCCTTTCGGTACTGTAGCAGCTACGACCTTGACCTTTCAGGACGTTAGCAGATACGACTTTGACCCTTCGGAGGAGCTACAGCTACGACTCCTAGGAACTGCTAAAACCTACAACCAACAGGTCTACAGCTCCAACCCCTACAACCTACAGACCTACCACAGCCTACCAACTGCTGCGAGTACACAGGTCACGGGTTCAACTCTCGGGGTCGACACAGATACTGTACACAGGTAAGGTGAGGACTAGGGATCGAGCCCTGGGATCTGCATCCGCTAATGCGAACGGGTGAATACCGTTTCACTCCTGCCGGCCTTAATTCGAGGTCCTCCGAGAATAACTCAATCCAAGGCTGGACCTTTACCTTTCCTATCCCTCTCGTAGGCTCTAACTACGCCCGGAGCTGTTTCTAGAAGTTCTATCCTAGTAAACCAGCAGTCGTCCTCTGGTTCCTGATAAGCAAACCGGACCTTATACTGTTTCTGTGGACGACCTCTACCTCCTGTTCTAAACACATCTTCATTTACAATCCCATCAATGTTGTACGTTCCATCCATGTCTGGGGGGATCATGGATCTTCTAGATGGAAACTGTTGACTTACGATACACGGCAACAACTTTGATGCATGAAACACAGGGTAGGTGTGGGGGTGTGCTGGGATCTCTACTGTGTAGGACGGCCCATCCTCTCCGCCCTTAACTTCTAGAACCGGCCATGGGCCTCTATACGCAAGCAGTAACTTCTGCGAGATGTTTTCGTCAGGAGCAAACTCTTTGGACTTGACCCAGACTAAGTCGCCTACTTGGAACTGCGATGGGCCACGGTGCTTGTTGGCTTGCTCTTCCTATGTTGGGCCTTCCTGAGGTTCTTGACAACTGTAGCTAGCTCTTTCTCGTGCTGTATCGCAAACTCCCTGGTACCGGGCGGTAGCCTATGAATTTGATCCTGGTTAAGCCCCTCAAACGGTCTGTGCGGTCTAAAGGACTTGTGTAACTCGTTGGGAGTGCGACAGGTGGCTAAGTGCACGTTGTTGTTATACGCACTGGCTACCTTGCGCAACATCTCATCCCAGTTGATCTGATCCGGTCTACTATACATGCGCATAACTTGTTGCAGGATTTTATTCATTTGCTCGGCCTGACCGTTAGTCTCTGGATGACGGCCAGATGACATCAGCAACTTTGACGCATCGATTTTCATCAATTCCTGCCAGTTCTGACTAGTGAACCGGGTGTCTTTATCGCTAACTATAGACAGCGGAATCCCGTGATCACTCACCCAATGATAAAAAAACTTCTGAATTACTAGATCAGTACGTGCCTTTGCGGGCGAAAGGACAAAAACAACATCATTACTGAATCTATCAACTATGACCATGACTTGGCTCTTACGATGTTTACTCTTGACGCCAGCGTCCATAACGTCAATGGACACTGAATCTCCTGGCTGATCAAGAATAGGCAAGGGTCTAAGAAGACCTAGACGGGCACTCGTAGTAGTCTTGTTTCTCTGGCATACTTTGCAGCTGCAGACATACTCTATGCAGTCAGCTTTCATTCCTGGCCAAGTGTACGCATGCATCAGATTGGCTAGAGTCTTTTGCCAACCGAAATGTCCCTCTGTGTCGTGGCATTCCCCTAGGATCAAACTACGGATCTCCTCGCTGTTGGGAACGAACAGACAGTCTACTACATCGGTCTTTTCGAACAATAATCCCCCTGTGGTGCGGTAATCTGGTTCGGTCTCTGGGGCCTCCTTAACTCTCTTGAGGAGGTTACTATAAATAGGGTTTTGCCCATACGCCTGTCTTACTCTCTCCTGCAGGTCACTTCCTATATCCAGATAGTGAACTATAGCTCCAAAGTAGTTTGCTCTCCTACTTAGAGCATCCACAACTACATTGTATTTGCCTTTAGCTCGAAGTCACACTGGTCTATCTAAGCAGCCCATCTAGTCAACTTAGGTGTCATTTTGGCCTGTCTTCAGCAACCTAAGAGTCTCGTGGTTTGAATACACCTTGAAGTGCCTCCCAAGCAGGTAATGCTTCCAGTGCTCTAAGGACTGCCTGAGAGCGTAGAGTTCTCTCTCATAAGTTGAGGTAGCTACCTTTTCTAAGGGCATCCTCGTTGATATGAACTCTACGGGTCTGTAGCCATTGTCGTCATCCTGTTGTAACACGGCGCCTATACCATACTGACTCCCATCCGTGGCAACGACAAATGGCAAGGACGGATCTGCTACTTTGAGGACAGGATACTCTATTAACACGCGCTTTAATTTCTTTAGCGCAGACGTACAATCTTTATCCCACTGCCAGATTGCCTCTTTCTTGAGCAACCTGCGAAGGGGAGCGGTGATAATCGAGAAGTTCCTCACGAACTTCCTATAGTAGTTAGCTATGCCTAGGAACGATCACAACTCGGTCAACGTGCGGGGCGTCGGCCAATCTCTAATTGCCGCTATCTTGCTGTCCTCAGGCTTACTGCCATCTCCGTCTAAGACATGGTCCAAGTACAAGACTTGTGTCTTGGCCCACTCGCACTTCTTTGCGTTGATCTTTACGTTCGCCTCTCTCAGCTTCTCCAAGACCTGCCTCAAATGACCCTGATGTTCTTGGAGGGTCTTACTGAATACTAATATATCATCTAGATAAACTACAACAAATCTATCTAACCACGGCCAAAACAAATCGTCCATACAGGAGTGGAACATGGCAGGCGCATTGGTTAGTCCAAAGGGCATCACTATAAACTCATAGTGCCCATATCTAGTCCGGAACGCACTCTTGTACTGGTCATCAAGATGGACCTTTATTTGACGATATCCGGACTTCAGATCGATCTTCGAAAAATATCTGCACCGCTGCACCCGATCTAAAAGATCATCTATCCTAGGCCGCGGTTCAGCGTTCTTCACTGTGATCGCATTTAGACCCCTATAATCTATACACATCTGTAACTCTCCTTCCTTCTTGGGGACAAACAAAACTGATGTTCCAAAAGGAGATGATCTGGGCCTAATCCAACCCTTTTCGAGGAGCTCGTCTAACTGCTTACGGAGCTCCTCTAATTCCCTTGGGGACATCTTGTAGACTGCTCTCTTAGGACTCTTACTGCCAAACTCTATTTTTATACGATGTTGGATCGGTCGTGGCACTACTCCTGACGGCGGCTCTGCAAGATCTTTGAACTCTTCCCGCAGCTTGGCAATAGTTGGGTCTATGGGTGTGTCTTCCTTAGGCTCAGTGACAGGCCTCACATAAGCTACGAAAACCTGCTCCTCTAACTGCTCCTTTCTCACTAATCGCGCGAACGAGGGAGCACTTAGACAGCAATGTGCCAAGGAGTTATCTACTCCACACATATGAAACAGGCGGGCAGTCACCTCGCCTGACGGACTAGGGAGCCTACACTCATGCTCTCTCAAATGGATTGTGGCCCCTGCTGCCTCTCCCCAATCCATACCTAGGACTATGTTGAAATGAAGGTCATCCTGTATGAGGAGAGTCAGGGAATGGAGAACTTTCTCCACTTTCCCATCATTCTCTAACAAAAGTACGCCTTGACTCCCTCTATGTAGTCCTCAACACGCATAGTGCGGTTGTCTGCAAGGACACTTACTATGGGGTCTTCCAACTTTTGGACTTTCAACCCTAGCCTTAGCTTTTTCAACGCTCTACGGCTAATATAACTGCGAGTAGCCCTTGAATCTATAAGGGCTCCTACCCTACTTCTAAAAACTTCTACATCAACTCAGACTAGTTGTCCCTTACTATCCTTCTTCATTTTGGCCCAGGCGGGCATCCTCTCCTTCAACTCTTCTACCACGCCTGTGAGGGAAGTGCCTAGAGAGACGTTAACACAGACAGTCTCTGGACAGCTAACTAGGGACTGTCC